GCCATCTTTGTCACCACTTTTTAAACAACTGAAATTAGGTGGTAAAACAAAATTCAACAAATATGGACTTGAACTTGTCATCACCTAAATGTGATTGCACAATGTGCTGAGATGTGTACCAGAAATTCAATATCCCCATGTGTGTGCTATGTGACCGGACTACTTTTTTGTGTTTGAATGCATGATCTGTTCACCTCCTATGTAAACAGTTTGGCACTATTTTTCAACATGCTAAATATAGAGATATATGTACAATGTTATACATTGGTATACATACATATGTTAACTGTCGGTCAGTCATATGATCAGTATGATCATTTATACTGAGATTTGGCAATGGAAATAATGAAGACAAAACTCATTTTCTGCTTTGAAAAATATGTTAAATCTTAATAAATCTATTATTAATAAACTCTGTATAAAAAAAACAGGTGATTCCCAGCGGCAGCATTTGGCTCTGTATTCAAATGCTATTGTCTGCCCATGTGTGGACCTCATAACATTTTTTTCAAATAGTCCCATTATAAAAATTTTTTTTAAATCCAACAATCTCTGTTTAACAATTGTCAACACTGTTTGAATGTGATAAACAATGTAAATATATAGCTGGATTCTTTTTTTCATATAATTTGAATGAAATGCTGTCTATGATATTTTATATATTTAAATATCAACTAAATCAGTTTTAATATGTCACTTATTTCTGTTCCTAAAGATGGAAGCCAATGCAGGTTGTAAGATTGGAGAAAAAACCATTTATGAACTGGACCTAACAGGTGGGTAATCAAATCAATATTTTCAAAATATTAAATTATTGCAATAATTATGGCAGGTTTTGTTGTAAGAAGGAATGCAACAGTGTGCAGAGATCTTTATCCTTATATGTTAGCAAAGCAGAAAATTGCTACAAAAATAAAAACAATCTTTCATATTATAATTGTAATCTTACTTTACAGAGTTTACTGATTGCCATAATGAATTATCAAGTCTCGGTAAGGACATACTTGGTAAGGATTTGTGTTTTAGCATGTTATTTGCCTGTATAAATCGCCTAATGAATATTATTTATCATTATATATCTGGCTTTGAAAACAGGATTTAACATTCCAGAATTTGCATTTGTTGAAACATAGTTGCACTAAATGCAACGTTTGAATTTGTGTGGAATGTATAGCCTAGCTTGGTTATGTTAGGCATAGCAACAATGTAGCATTTGATAGAAATAGAATCCTGGCAATGAATGCAGATAATCACACAACAACTTTGTGGCATGACTCACATAAAAAGCGTTTTTGCTGGCGTTTCAGATTTTTATCTCCCACTACATTATGAATG